ACAGTTACACTCCAAATTCCACTATGGTGAAGACCAAAGAGCTGTCGAAGGACACCAGAAACAAAATTGTAGACCTGCACCAGGCTGGGAAGACTGAATCTGCAATAGGCAAGCAGCTTGGTGTGAACAAATCAACTGTGGGAGCAATAATTAGAAAATGGAAGACATACAAGACCACTGATAATCTCTCTCGATCTGGGGCTCCACGCAAGATCTCACCCCGTGGGGTCAAAATGATCACAAGTACGGTGAGCAAAAATCCCAGGACCACACGGGGGGACCTAGTAAATGACCTGCAAAGAGCTGGGACCAACGTAACAAAGGCTACCATCAGTAACACACTACGCCGCCAGGGACTCAGATCCTGCAATGCCAGACGTGTCCGCCTGCTTAAGCCAGTACATATCCGGGCCCGTCTGAAGTTTGCTAGAGAGCATATGGATGATCCAGAAGAGGATTGGGAGAATGTCATATGGTCAGATGAAACCAAAATAGAACTGTTTGGTAGAAACACAACCTGTCGTGTTTGGAGGAGAGAGAATGCTGAGTTGCATCCAAAGAACACCATACCTACTGTGAAGCATGGGGGTGGCAACATCATGCTTTGGGGTTGTTTCTCCGCAAAGGGACCAGGACGACTGATCCATGTACAGGACAGAATGAATGGGGCCATGTATCGTGAGATTTTGAGTGCAAACCTCCTTCCATCAGCAAGGGCATTGAAGATGAAACGTGGCTGGGTCCTCCAACATGACAATGATCCCAAACATACCGCCAGGGCAACGAAGGAGTGGCTTCGTAAGAAGCATTTCAAGGTCCTGGAGTGGCCTAGCCAGTCTCCAGATCTCAACCCCATAGAAAACCTTTGGAGGGAGTTGAAAGTCTGTGTTGCCCAGTGACAGCCCCAAAACATCACTGCTCTAGAGGAGATCTGCATGGAGGAATGGGCCAACATACCAGCAACAGTGTGTGCCAACCTTGTGAAGACTTACAGGAAACGTTTGACCTCTGTCATTGCCAACAAAGGATATATAACAAAGTATTGAGATGAACTTTTGATATTGACCAAATACTTATTTTCCACCATAATTTGCAAATAAATTCTTTCCAAATCAGCCAATGTGATTGTCTGGATTTTTTTTCTCATTTTGTCTCTCATAGTTGAGGTCTACCTATGATGCAAATTACAGGCTTCTCTCATCTTTTTAAGTGGGAGAACTTGCACAATTGGTGGCTGACTAAATACTTTTTTGCCCCACTGTATGTATGTATGTATGTATGTAGTATATACTCATATAGGTTCATTACACACAGGGTGATATATTTCAAGCATTTTTTTTCTTTTAATTTTGAAGATTATGGCTTACTGCTAGTAAAAACCCAATATTCAGTATCTCATATAATTAGAATATTGTGAAAAAGTTCAATATTGTAGACACATGGTGTCACACTCTAATCAGCTAATTAACTCAAAAACACCTGTAAAGGTTTCCTGAGCCTTTAAATGGTCTCAGTCTGGTTCAGTAGGCTACAGAAACATGGGGAAGACTGCTGACTTGACAGTTGTCCAGAAGGCAGTCAATGACACCCTCTACAAGGAGGGTAAGTCACAAAAAGTCATTGCTAAAGAAGCTGGCTGCTCACAGAGTGCTGAATCCAACATATTAATGGAAAGCAGAGTAGAAGGAAAAAAAGTGTGGTAGGAAAAGGTGCCCAAGCAACAGGGATAACCACAGCCTTGAGAGGATTGTGAAGCAAAGGCTATTCCAGAATTTGGGGGAGATTCACAAGGAGTGGACTATGGCTGGTGTCAGTGCTTCAAGAGCCACCACACACAGATGTATCCAGGACATGGGCTACAACTGTCGCATTCCTTGTGTCAAGCCACTCAACAAACAGACAATGTCTGAAGCATCCTACCTGGACTGTTGCTCAGTGGTCCAAAGTAAATTTTGCATTTCATTTGGAAATCAAGATCCCAGAGTCTGGAGGAAGAGTGGAGAGGCACAGAATCCAAGTTGCATCAGGTCCATACTTTTCAGTAAGCTAACATTTCTGTATTAAAAATCTTTTTTATATTGGTCTTATGTAATATTCTAATTTTCTGTTATACTGAATTTTGGGTTTTCACTAGCTGTAAGCCATAGTCATCAAAATTAAAGGAAAGAAATGCTTGAAATATATCACCGTGTGTAGTAATGAATCTATATATGAGTTTCACTTTTTGAATTTAATTACTGAAATAAATTGATATTCTAATTTATTGAGATGCATATATATATATATATACACACACACACACACACACACACACACACACACACTATTGTGCAAAAGCTTTAGGCAGATGTGAACAAAATGTTGTACTTTAAGAATGCTTTCACAAATAGAAGTGTTAATGGTTAATTTTATCAATTAACCAACAGCATTAATTCCTCTAGGTACACTTACATACGGTGCTTGAAGGAACTCAGCAGGTAGGTTGCTCCAAACATCTATAACCACAGATCCTCTGTGGATGTAGGCTGCCTCAAATTCTTCTGGCTCTTCATGTAAAGCCAGATAGACTTGATGTCTATCAAACCATCACTTCCAGGACTCCTTGGTCTTCAACATTGAGGACACCATTTATCCTGACCAAATCACCAACTACATTTGCAGAAATGCAGCCCCCAAAAAAACCTCACCATGCTGTTTTCTGCAGACACTCATAATTGTACCGCTCTGCAGCCCTTCAGCGGACAAACTGCCTCCTGCTACAGCTAAATACTTCAGATTCTGACTCATCAGTCCAGAGCACCTGCTGCCATTTTTCTCCACCCCAGTTCCTATGTTTTTGTGCATAGTTGAGTCGCTTAGCCTTGTTTACAAGTTGGAGGTATGGCTTTTTGGTCACAATTCTTTCATGAAGACCAATTCTGGCCAGACTTCTCCAGAAACTAGATGAGTGTACCTGGGTCCCACTGGTTTTCGCCAGTTTTGTGCTGATGGCACTGGACATCTTTCGATGTTGAAGGGAAGTAAGCATGACGTGTCTCATCTGTTGCATTGAGTTTCCATGGCTGACCAATACATCTACAGTCAATATTGCCTGTTTCTTTGTTCTTCTTCAAAAGAGCTTAAACCACATTTTAAAACCATAGTCTGCTTTGAAATCTTTGCCTGGGAGAGACCTTGCTGATGCGGTATACCACCTTGTGTCTTGTTGCTGTGCTCAGTCTTGCCATGGTGTATGACCTGTGACTTGAAACGGTCTTTCAGAACCTCACCTTAGTAGCAGAGTTTGGTTGTTTCTCACCCAGCTTTAAGCCTGTTAAAACAGCTGTTTCTGTTTCAGTTAATGACTGTTTCAACCTACATATGACATTAATGATCATTAGCACCTGCTTGGTATAGTTAGTTAATCATACACCTGACTCTAGTCCTGACTTTGTGTAAGTGTACAAAGTGTGCAGGTGTAAGAACTGATGCTGGTTTAAAGTCAAAGGGCAGTCACACCAAATATTGATTTGATTTCGATTTTTCTTCTGTTCGCTCACTTCACATTTTGTAAATAGATAAAAATAAACAATTAAAATATATATTTTTGAAAGCATTCTTACTTTAAAGCATTTCTCCACACCTGCCTAAAAATGTTTACGCAGTACTCGCTCTCTTGATATATATATTTATTAAACATAGAAATGTGATGGTAGAAACACAGACCAAGTCATCCATGGAGTCTGCCCCGATTTTTTGTTTTTATTTATATACAGTATGTTTTTGTGGTTTTTTTTTTTTTTTTTACTTTTTTGAGTATATTTTCTATGTTTGTTCCAAGCATTTTGAATTCACTTACTGTTGAGTGACTCACTACCTCTGCTGGAAGTCTATGCCAAGCATTAAATATGCTTTTTGTAAAATAATACTTTCTAACACTAGTTTTGAACTTTCCTACTGCTAGTTTGAGGTCACATCCCTGTTTATTGATCTTGGCGTCCTATTGAAAACACTGCTCTCCTGAACTTTATTCACCCCGTTGATGTATTTAACCAGTTCCCAAAGCAGCATGGCCTATTCTGGGACGGACAGGGCTACGAAGCAATCTGTCACACGCTGTTGGTACCATGTGATAGCTGTGGCCAATCACAACAGATCACATGACAATTGTACACAATGGATGGCTTTTACTCATGCCATCCATTGTGTACAATTATGTTAATCTCTGAGATTGCTCACAGTGATCACAATATGAAGACAAGGCCAATTAGAGCTTATCTGTACCATGTGATTAGCTCATGATCAATCACAGCTAACCACAGTAGTGAACACTGAATGAATTCAGTAAAAATGGTTGCTTATAACAGTTATATTATACTATACTGCTCTGGTGACAGTATATGTAAAAAAAAAAAAAACAAATTGTGAAAAAAACCTTTTAAAATTTCCATTTTGCAAAATATTGTGACGAAAAAATTACAGCTTCAAACGACTCGCTATGCCTCTCTTACTAAATAACTTGGATTGTCTACTTTCTAAAAAGGTTATTTGGGGTATATATGTACAGTCCTGGCATTTTAAGGGCCTCAAGAAATTACATAGATTGTCATTATATCAAGAATGATCGATTTTCAAAATATATACCATAACTTTCCTACAGACTAAATAATAAACAGTGATTTGGGTTATTTTCACCAAAGCAATGTAGCAGAATACAGTTTAGCCTAAAGTTATGAAAGATTATTTAGTTGCAAAAATCACCTTTCTTCTGCTGGTGACCTCTCTAGGGATGCATCCTAGAATATTATTCGCACTGCATAGCCACACTGTTTGCTCATTTTACAATCATCTGAAAGAAGTTCCCCCAAATCTTTTTTCCTCTGTAGTGCTGGCTAACACTGTACCCCAAATATTGCACACTATCAAGGAATTCTTTTTCTCTAAGTGTATTATTTTTACTTTTAGTATTATATAAAATAGTTAATAACCTGCATTATACAAGATAGTTAATAACACGTTAAGACATAACATGACTATATTAAAATTATTGACACAGCTTCATGGGAAATGGCCACTTACCATACAAGTCAGGTCCATGAGGTGTAAAGACATTGTACAACACAATATTAAAAGGTGCTATAACAAGTTTTCCATAGTAATAACTGTCTATAGCCACCAGAGGGACCTACAACAGAGAGATTTAAAAAATCACTTATTTTGTTTTATAACCATTAGTATATAGATTATAATAAAGCAAAACTAATGAATGTCAGGACAGTATAAGGCACTTTGGGGAGGAACCTTTGCCAAGAAGGATACAATATCAATCCGGGGCAATAATTGAAACACATTACTGGTTATGTTTGTTTGTTTAACTTGTAAACGTTTTGCTCTCTTTCTGTTCAGTAATACTTATCATTGCAAAAGTTGGAATTCAAGACCAAAGATAGAAAAATCCAGCGTCCATGCTACAAATTAAAATGTTTAACTGCAACTAAATTATGCATAGAGTAGATGGACTTCTGGCACAAGATTTAGTGATCTCCCCTCTCCAGCAGGGACAGGTCCAGGATTCTGCTATCAATCAGGTACCACAACGCTCATGGACAGTTACTGACAATGTGTACAAAAGTTACAGTGTGCAGGTCACCCAGCTCAATTTTTGATATGCGCTGTGCAGTTTGCATAGGAAATCAAAATCTGCTATTAGCATGAGGAAAGTTTTTTGGCAAAGGAGATTTTGCGTGTCTCTTTTGTCAAGAAGTTCTAGATCCCAGCAGGTTTTCACAGCAGACTTCAGTTCTGCTATAATCTCCCAAAATAAAAGAAATTCTAATAGATGAAAATGTAAAATAATTCAGGCACTTATCCTTCAAAACAAACAATTGTATTAACAGTTTTAAAACATCAAATTAATAAAGTAAAATTCAAGACCTACAATGCAACTGCAAACAGTATGCACTCCCAAGAGATGAGGACCGTTCAGCATTTGTGGTGCAGCAGAGTCTACACCAGTCTGCAACTTACAGTTCTTCATTACAATGAAAGCACATCTCAGCAGTGATCCTAATACTTACGCAATGTCCTTAAACATTCAAATATGCTCACCTATTCAGTCTCACAATAAAAACATTGCCTCCTTACCTCTAAGAAATTATATTTCAGTTGTGCTCAAAAGTTTGCATACCCATGGAGAATTGGTAATATACAGTATGCACCATTTTTAAAGAAAACATGAGTGAGCAGGCAAAACACATTTCTTTTATTTCTTGTGGAATTCATATTAAACTGTAGATCACAACAGAATGGCACAATCATAAAACAGAACATGACAACAAGTAAACAAAATGAAATGACCCCTGTTCAAAAGTCTGCATACCCTTAGTTCTCAATACTGTGAATTTCCCCCTTTGCATCAATGACAGCTTGCAGTCTTTTGTAATAGTTGTCTATGAGGCCCGAAATTCTTGTGAGTGGTATACCTGCCCATTCGTCTTGGCAAAATGCCTCTGGGTCATGGAAAGTTTTTGGTCATCTTGCATGAACCACACGTTTGAGATCCTCCCAGAGTGGCTCGATGATATTAGGGTCAGGAGACTGTGATGGCCACTCTACATCCACCTTTTTTCTGCTGTAACCACTGGAGGGTCAACTTGGCCTTGTGCTTAGGGTAATTTTCATGCTGGAAATTCCAACAGCGCCCCATGCGCAGCTTTTATGTAGAAGAATGCAAATTGTCTGCCAGTATTTTCTGATAACATGCTTTCACAAGATTCTCTGTGCCTTTCAAGCTCACATACCCCCAAAACACCAGTAAGCCACCACTATGCTTCACAGTGAGGATGGTATTCTTGTTGATCCAAACATAGCACTTATGGTTGATCTCATCAATCTAGATTACAGTATACCAGAAGTTGTGAGACGTATCAAGGTGTTGTCGGGCAGCTTGTAACTGGGCTTTTTTGTGGTATTGGCGCAGTAAAGGCTTCTTTCTTGCAATTAAACCATGCAGCTCATTTTTGTTCAAGTATCATCGTATTGTGCTCATTGAAACAGCCACACAGTCTTTTTCCAGAGCAGCCTGTATTTCTCCTGAGATTACCTGTGAGTTTTTCCTTATAGCAAACAATTCTTCTGGCAGTTTTGAATAATAACTTTCTTGATCTACCTGTCCTTGGCTTGCTATCAAGAGATTCCTGAATTTTCCACTTCTTAATAAAATGATTGAACAGTACTGACTGGCATACTCAAGACTTTGGATATATTTTTATATCCTTTTCCATCTTTCTAAAGTTCCATTATCTTTTAACGCAGGTCTTTTGCCAGTTCTTTTCTACTCCCTATGGCTCAGTACCTAGCCTGCTCAGTGTATCCATGTGAGAGTTAACAAACTCATTAACTATTTATACACTGACACGAATTGCAATTAAAAATGCCACAAATGTGGGAAATTAACCTTTGTCATTTTAACCTGTGTGCGTCACCTTGTGTGTCTGTACTAAGGCCAAGCATTCCAGGGTATGTAAATTTTTGATCATAGCCATTTGGGTGATTTCTGTTATTATGATTTAAAATGGAGCCAAACAACTATGTGACAATAAATGCCTTCATATGATCACTATTAGAGATGAGCGAATTATTCAAAAATTCGATTCGGCTGATTCGCCGAATTTGCGGAAGAAATTCGATTCGATGCGAATTTATTCGCTGCGAATTTAACTTATTTAAAGGGTTTCTAGGCTTCAGAGAGCCTTTATATTAGTGCAGAACACTGTACCTTTAATTTAAATGCCCTTGGAGTCTGCTGGGGAAGAGAAATAATACTGTCAGTCAGTATGACATGCAGATGAGTGCCGTCGATCTTAGAATCACCGCACACTTCACTCATTTGGGCAGTCACGGGGGGACGACGAAGACGACGAAGAAGACGACGAAGACGACGAAAACGACGAAGAAGGACGACGAAGAAGACGACGAAGAGGCGACGAAGAACGAAGAAGAAGGAAAGAAAAGAATGAAAAGAAGAAGAAGAATGAAAAGAAGAAGCAGAATGAAAAGAAGAAGAAGAAGAAGAATGAAAAGAAGAAGCAGAATGAAAAGAAGAATGAAAAAAGAAGAAGAAGAATGAAAAGAAGAATGAAAAGAATGAAAAAGAAGAAGAATGAAAAAGAAGAAGAAGAAGAATGAAAAGAAGAATGAAAAGAAGAAGAAGAAGAATGAGAAGAAGAATGAGAAGAAGAATGAAAAGAAGAATGAAAAGAAGAAAAGAAAAAAAGAATGAAAAGAAGAAGAAAAAGAAGAATGAAAAAGAAGAAGAAGAAGAATGAAAAGAAGAAGAAGAAGAATGAAAAGAAGAAAAGAAGAATGAGGAAAGAATGAAAAGAAGAATGAAAAGAATGAGAAGAAGAATGAAAAGAATGAAAAGAAGAATGAAAAGAATGAGAAAGAAGAATGAAAAGAATGAGAAGAAGAATGAAAAGAATGAGAAGAAGAATGAAAAGAATGAGAAGAATGAAAAGAAGAAGAATGAAAAAAGAAGAAGAATGAAAAGAAGAATGAATGAAGAAGAAGAAGAATGAAAAGAAGAAGAATGAAAAGAAGAAGAATGAAAAGAAGAAGAATGAAAAGAAGAAGAATGAAAAGAAGAAATGAGAAGAAGAATGAGAAAATGAAAAGAATGAAAAGAAGAAGAATGAAAAGAATGAGAAAAGAAGAAGAATGAAAAGAATGAAAAGAAGAAGAAGAAGAATGAAGAAGAAGAAAAGAATGAAAAGAAGAATGAGAAGAAGAAGAAGAAGAAGAAAAGAAGAATGAGAAGAAGAATGAAAAGAAGAAGAAAATGAAAAGAAGAAGAAGAATGAAAAGAAGAATGAGAAGAATGAGAAGAATGAAGAAGAAGAAGAAGAATGAAAAGAAGAAGAATGAAAAGAAGAAGAATGAAAAGAAGAAGAATGAAAAGAAGAATGAAAAGAAGAAGAAGAAGAATGAAAAGAAGAATGAAAAGAAGAAGAAGAAGAATGAAAAGAAGAATGAAAAGAAGAAGAATGAAATGAAAAGAAGAAGAATGAAAAGAAGAAGAAGAAGAAGAAGAAGAAGAATGAAAAGAAGAATGAAAAAAGAAGAAGAAGAATGAAAAGAAGAAGAATGAAAAAGAAGAAGAATGAAAAGAAGAATGAAAGAGAAGAAGAAGAAGAATGAAAAGAAGAATGAATGAAGAAGAAGAAGAATGAAAAGAAGAAGAAGAAGAATGAAAAGAAGAAGAAGAATGAAAAAAGAAGAAGAATGAAAAGAAGAAGAAGAATGAAAAGAAAAGAAGAAAAGAAGAAAAGAAGAATGAGAAGAAGAATGAAAAGAAGAAGAATGAAAAGAAGAATGAAGAAGAAGAAAAGAAGAAGAAGAATGAAAAGAAGAATGAAAAGAAGAAGAAGAAGAATGAAAAGAAGAAGAATGAAAAAGAAGAATGAATGAAAAGAAGAAGAAGAATGAAAAGAAGAATGAAAAGAAGAAGAATGAAAAGAAGAAGAAGAATGAAAAGAAGAATGAAAAGAAGAAGATGAAAAGAAGAAGAAGAAGAATGAAAAGAAGAAGAAGAAGAAGAATGAAAAGAAGAAGAAGAATGAGAAGAAGAATGAAAAGAAGAAGAATGAAAAGGAGAAGAATTCCAGTACAGCAAAAAGTGTATCTGCAGAGAGCTCCGCTATTTCTGACAGTTCTCCTCACATTTACAGCGGTTGAAACATTGTATCTATTTGTTTCCGAATAAAAACATTGTATCCTAAATGGAAACAGATACAATGTTTCAACCGCTGTAAATGTGAAGGAACTGTCAGAGAACTGTCAGAAATAGCGGAGCTCTCTGCAGGGACACTTTTTGCCGGCTGTAGAAGGGATGAAAATCGGCCGATCGGGAAAAATTCGATTCGCGCATCCGAAGTTTGCTAATATTCGTATTCGGTGCGAATCAAATTTTTCCTAATATTCGAAACGAATTCCACTTCGCCAAGTTCGATTCGCTCATCTCTAATCACTATCCATAACCCCTTCATGCCTAAGGGTAAAACAAACCTTAATGTCTGGACGCAGTTTTTGCAATTTTGACACGTGTTAGCTAAACTGTACATATCTTTGCAACTGCATAATGTATCCAAGTGGATATCTTGTTTTTTTTCAGGACAAATTGGGCTT